TTGATTAGCTCTAGTAATTTTCTGGTAGAGTCTTTAGGGTTTTCTATGTAGAGGATCATGTCATCTGCAAACAGTGAGAGTTTCACTTCTTCTTTTCCTATCTGGATTCCTTTTACTTCTTTTTCTGCTCTGATTGCTGTGGCCAAAACTTCCAAAACTATGTTGAATAGTAGTGGTGAGAGTGGGCGCCCTTGTGGGTCAGGGTGTTTGGGCCTGACTGCTTCTAATTTTTTCATACAGTATGAGATCATGTTGCCCATTAAGAGGTAGTGGTATGAGGTGCTGGAGATTTCATGAAACAAGAAAAGTGAAATAGTTATCTTGGAGAGGGCTTGATAAAGTGTTTTCTAGGGAAATAAAGTAACTTTTCCAAATAGCATTGAGATCCACAGTATGACTCGGAAGTGAGTGTTTTTCTCCAGCAAAGTTCTGATGATTCAGTGAAGATACAGGGTAGGCAAAGAGAGTCACTTATTTTAAAAAGCTATCAAAAGAACTTTTTATTTTTCTTATGAATTTCAGAGACACTGGTTGCTCCTTATTGCCAATGGGAAGATAATTTTAAAATTCATCAATACTTAAAGAACCACATAGGATTTTGTGTTTCTAGAATTGGAAGAGAAGTTATGAATGAAGCACAGGAGAGGGAACAGAATCACATGTCACAGTCTATTAAGTCCTTGCTAAACGTACAATATTGGGAAGTATTTAGACCAAGTAGAGGATGTGGTGCCAGTCCTGAAGAGGCTTAATCTCTATTCAGATTGATAGAAATATTATTCAGATTAGATTGAACTTAAATTCTCTAGCTGTTTCATATTTAAATATCAGAATTTAAAAACAAGGTAGTTTGGGACAGGATGCCTTTTGAGATACTTTAGGTAAAGATATGGGGAATTTATTCTAAAGTCTAAAGGAGCTTATGTCATAGTAGATGTATTTTTGTTGTTTAGTCGCTAAGTTATGTCTGACCCCTTAGACTGTAGCCCACCAAATTTGTCCATGGGATTTCCCAGGCAAGAAACTGCAGTAGGTTGCCGTTTCCTTCTCCAGGGCATCTTTCCCACCAAGGAATCAAACCCAAGTCTCCTGCATTGGCAGGTGGATTCTTTACCACTGAGCTATCAGGGCAGCCTGTTCAACGTATAGAGAAAGTTTTAAGGGCATAGCTGTAGCTAACAGAGCAGGGAGAACAAATGAATTTTAAAAATGTGATGTGGTGATAATTCTATATATGATGTTAGATACTCTGTAATTGAAGCTTTTTAATTCTCAGGTTCAAACACTGAGTTTTGCTGTGGCAATTCCCATTCACTCCTAGAAGGAATTGTTTTCTGCAGCCTTGTGAGCTGCTCCATCCAAGCCTTCATTCATTCGTGCAACAACTGTTTTTGAACACCTGCTATCTATCAAGTACTGTCCAAGGTGCTGGCGATCTTACAGTTGAACAAGACATGCAACATCTCTGCCCATGTGAAGCGTCCCTTCTAGTGAGGGGCACGGAAGATAGAGTGTGTAGGACGGGAGTAAGTCCTATGGGGAAAGTAGGGCACAGGGTAGGGTATGTCCCTGCACAAGGCACTGTCCCGGGAGCCCTGCAGCCAGGCTGCCTGGGCTGGAATCCTGACTTCGCCAGATGCTTGCCGTGCAGGATCAGTGTCTAGTTTCTAGGCAAAGCCTTACACGGTGTGTGGCATACAGTAAGTACTCAAGAAAACGTTACTAATATTACTGTAGTAGCAAGGATGTTATCAATATGATGTTGGTTTGGTAAATTTAAAATTTCTAATTGAGATGGAGAGCAGGGATGACTGCTCCAGTTCACTGCTTCCTGGTCTGCTCAGAACAAGCCCTCTCATCATACATGGAACTGCAAAGCCCAGTTTCCTCTCTGAACCCTCCTGCCATCCTCTTCCTCCTCACTCATTCTGCCCCTGTCACTAGCTATTCCTCAAACATACCAGGCCTCCTCCCACCTCAGGGCACCTGCAGCTGCTGTCCTCTCTTCCCGGAATGTTCTTTCCCCAGAAATCTGCACTGACGACTCCTTGACCTCCTTCAGGCCTTTGCTCAGATGTCATCTGCTAATGAAGTCTTCTCCCATCCTGTTTGAAATAAAATTGCCCACTCCCCACCCACCTCTGACATTCCATATACTCCACCACTTCATATATTAACTACTTTAAATCAGAGACCTGAGAACTATTGCAGGGCATTGTAATTCAGTGTTATTTATGCAAATCACATTAATGTTCTGTTGGTCAGTACCCAAAGAACAGACCTCTTGGTGATGATGAAGTGTAGCTAAGAGAACAGAAAGAGGGCAGGGCACAGGGTCACACGTCCGAATTTTGTCTTTAGCTGTAGGCAGAAGAGCCATGCCATCATTCATCACGCCTGACTTAGCGTATCTCTCACTGATTGAGCCCCTGCCTTATACCCAGCACGCTCGAGCGAGAAAGACAGGATCTCTCAGCCAAGCCTATGTGCTATTTTGTACGTAACATCATTTTCTGTGAATGCTGGCATTTTCCTCTAGAGCCTTACATCTCGCTCACGTTAGAGAACATACAGTCTTGCCAAATTCAAGTCCCTCAGTCTCTTCTGACCTTAAACGCTCTCCCTGCAGTGTGGAGCTGTCTAAACTGTCTGTGAGAACTTCTCCCTGGGTCAGGACTTCTGGAACCACGCCCCCGCCCCCCAACCACCCACACATTGCACAGGGGTGCCTGCCTGGCCTCCCCCCAGAATATGGGCGGTGCTCAGAAGAGCGGAGAGGGGGCAGGTCCGCCCACTGTCTCCATGGGGGCCACTGAGGTATGGCTTATCCTGGTGGTCACTGGCATCCCATTGTCTTTGTCTACAGGGGCGTGGCTGTGCCCGCCCTGTTTCCAGAGCCCTTGACAAAGCCTTTGTGAAGGTCCCTGGTCTCTGAAGGTGGACAAACCCGCCCTGACCTCAGATCTCCAGTTACTTCTCCCAGTCCCTCTGTGTGGGGATGGCCCATGTGTCCCGTGTGGTTTAGGGGCAACTGTGGATCCGAACAGGGCCCATCAGTCTAGAGACGGCCTCCCCTGACATCTCCCATGAACACAAGGCCCCTCTGAGAGCCCTGGAGCCTCCTTCAGCCTCTCTGGAGGAAGCCAGACTCCAGTGTGCTCAGATGCCCCCCTGTGCATCCTATGGTTTATACGGAGCTTGAAAACTGAAGCTCTTTATTTCAGACACCCTCCCTATACACCCTTTCAGTAGTCCGCAGATATTTACTATAAAACCAGTTCTTTTGGAAAGAATCGGTATCTTTTTAGTGATTGTCCAGAAAAATCAGCAATTTCTTATTTGATATTCAGAGAAGCAGTAGAGTGTAGCAGGTATGTTAAGGCCTGGACATTTGCAGCTACCCTGCTGAATACTGGCTCTATCACTTGCTGTGTGGCCTTGGGGAGTTAATTAACCTCTCTGCGCCTCACTCAGCTTCCTCACTTGTAATATGAGGAGAACGGTCGTACCTACTTCTTAAGGGTGTTGTGAAGATTCAGTTGATCCATTTAAGTGCTCAGGACAGTACGTGGGCCAAAGGAAATATTCTGTGTTAGTTAGTTAGTACTAGACGAAGTTACCGGAAGTACACCAGTTGGGCCAGGGGATTTAGGCGGCGTACTGGTTGCTACGTCATTTATTGTAGTTTTACTACAGTAAAAAGGCAGGGGTATCACTGTGGGCCGAGCTTGGCCGGGAGGTTGTTTTTTTTTACCTGTTTCACTGCTACCATTTTCCTTTACCCCCTCAGAAGAATTTAGGATCTTGGATGCTGAAAGGAGGACGCAGTCAACCTCATCCTCTTCCTCCGGACGCTTTTCTGTAACAAAACAGCACTGGGCTTCGGCCTGTTGGCTTTGCCTGGAGGAGGGAGATGAGGCCTGGGGAGGAGGAAGACTAGGCCTGGGGATGAGGGCGCTAGCGCGCTGAGCAGCCACCGGAGGGCGCGCTGGGCCGGAGGCGGGGCGGGCGCCGGTATGCCTTCCTCCTGGCCGGCGGAGGTGCGCGGCTAGTCCTGCAGATCCGCACCCCAGACTCGACTCGCTCTGGGGGTGAAGGGGCCGGGGTCGGGGAGGCGGCGCTCTCCAGTACCCGTCCACCTCCCAGGGCGCCCCCTCAAAGGCCAGCCCCACCCCAGCCTGGCTCTTACCCGGGCTCATTTCTGCTACTCAAGGCCTCTTCCCAACTGCCTTCCCTCCTCCAAGGCATTCTGCTCGGTTGCTTCTAGCCAGGGCATCTCGTTGCTTGGCAACGGGGTGGCGGGGACCGCGCGAGGGGCAGTGGGGGCGCGCGCAGCGGTGGGGGTGGGGAGAAGGAAGATGCGCAATGGGGTCTGGGGTCCCGGGTCCCAAACGCCCGCCCCGCCCGAGCGACGCCTGCAACGGTCGCGTGGTGGGAAGGTCCCACCTTCGCTGCTGCTGCTGCTGCCAAGTCGCTTCAGTCGTGTCCGACTCTGTGCGACCCCATGGACCGCAGTCCACCAGGCTCCTTTGTCCACGGGATTCTCTAGGCAAGAATACTGGAGTCGGTTGCCATTTCCTTCTCCACTCACCTTTGCTGTGCCCCCCAAATCCAGCGACAAGCTCATTAGGGCGCCCTGCTCCCTGCCCCCCGCGTCTCCCCTGCTCATCCAGAAACTGATCAGACTCTGCCTTAACGCAGCACCTGTTGAGCTGAAGTTGTGTGGACAGAGTCGGGTGTTTGGAGAGACACAGACACCTAGGAACTCCCTGCCTTCTCTGATCTCTCTGGTCGCCATTTCATTGTTTTATTCTGTTCTGTTCCTCTTGTTTCAACCCATCTGTCAGGTCAGTTTCAGCGACTTGGGATTCAAACTATCCTAGACAGGGACATTTATTTGCTGTGGTTAAAAGAAGACCCCTATTTCCAGTATTGAACTTACAATAGCAGTGTATTGAAATGTACACGTTAGAGCTGTCGCGGAGGCACCAATCTTCATTTGCAGAGCGTGCTGATTTTCTGTGCACCTGGGTAAACCACTTGTAAAAGATGGATGTTGCCTTGGAAGCTGGGGCTTGTTCAAGTAAAGACTGGTTGACCCTGGCCACAGTCAATCCCCTTGTCCATCAGAAAATGGAGCTGTCGAAGTCAATCTGTTAAATGGGTATATGTTATTATTTTGTGATAACAGTCATTATAGAGGGAATATAAAATAGTTGAAAGTTCAGATTTTAAGTCACAGTAAGGAATTACAAGTCATGGTGGGATAATTTATTATATAATAATTATGTGGCTCAATTTCATGGAAATGAAATTCTTTATCATAGTTTCATTGTTTACTAGCTGTCCATTTCTTGTTTCCTAGCCGATAGAAATGGCCTCTGGAAGATTTGGCAGTCTTTCTTGTGGTGTTGTAGACCGTTTTGACAAACTGTAATTTTGAGAATTTAGGTTCTCCATTGATGATTGATGGTGACAAAGTTAACGTTTTCTGAAGAGCTGCAAACATTTTCATCCATATATCTGTCAAATTACTCTTCTGAATAAATTTCAGTATTTTGAAGGGAGAATGTAGATAAAAAAGCATTACATTTTAGGAAGTTAATCCCTATACTAATGAACTTTCCATAACAAGAAATTACTATAAAAATTTTATTTTATGCAACATTATATATTAATATCTAATAACATGATAATTAACATAATGTAATATTCTACAATAGCTGATTTGTCTGTGTAATGTTTGTAGGTTATGATGGCAGATGTGTACACAGAAATTACTTGTGGATTTAAATGGGATGATTCAACCATACCGTTCAGTACAGGATATAAAAAGCAGATGATAAGAGCTACAGTATAAAAAACTCAAATTTGGCTGGCATACTAATTTCAGTAGACATCTACTCTACTTTTAAGATACTTCCCAATCAATTCATCAGTCAGAGCAGCAATTCTTTACTTAGAAATTCAGTTGATTTTAGATGTTAGGGTCAACAACATCATTTGATTGTAAGATTCATTTCTCTTTTGTAAACTAAAGAATAACTTTTAAAAAATAATTTATTTGTCAGAAAATCATTATCATTAATATACAACAAACCCATCTTTGGAGTCAACAAAGTTATAATACATTTTTAAAATGTCTTTAATAATTAAAGTGTCTATGATATGAATGGTATCCCAGAAGAGGCCCCTTGTGAGGGCCCCACACCAAGAGACATGCGTGGAGACCCTGTTCTTTGGTGAGAGAGAGAAACTGGATGGTTAAGGAGAGAAACTATCACCCCCAAAATGGATGTATTTGGTCACTTTGGGGAGTATTTATTGCATTTGTGAATGTATGTCCAGGGAATTCTTATCTGATTACTCGTGGCCCCACCTATCATAGTTCCTGGGCCTGTGACACTGAAAAGTTTGATGATCCCAGCTGAAATTGGTGAGCAAAGTTTAGAATCAAAACACTTACTCTGAGGGATGCTCAAATTTTTCCCTCCCTAGTGTAATTATTGCCCCAATAATTAAGTTTTTGGTGAAATATTCTTAGCTTACACTTCATGGTATTGAGAAGTGTGGAATTTCATGGAAAAATGTTAGTTTCCAGATTTGTGTGGGAAAAACTGAAACATGGGAAGGTTTAGGAACTTTTCAAAAACTCTCTTAACTGGTCAGTGCTAGACTTCTTGATTCTGAAATCCTAGTTTTGCCAAAAACCAGTTTATTTTGATTTTTTTTTTTTTTACCCATAGCAAATCACAGTGTTATGATATAGGACAGCATTTCATCTAAATTTTACAAAAGTATAGAGGGAGTATAAATATTAATGTTAGAACTAAAAGTTTGTTTCCCTGATATGGTATCACATGTCACCTGTACTATTTTCTCAGTATGGTGAGACTGTTCCTATTTCATTTGACCTCATATCAGATGGACAGTGGAGAATTTTCTGTCAGGGGATATGCCTTCTCTGGCCATACATGTCAGTCAGTCCAGAAACTGCTGTGAAAATGTCTGATTTGTGAAGCTCATTGCTAAAGGTTGGAATTAAAATTAGTACTGCCAGTTTTGTTTTTTTTTTAATCTGTGAGTCACAATATTTCAGAATCTTCCAATAGTAGCTCTTCTTACAGAATCCATTTTCACCTGTTGACTAACAGCTGCAGAATCAAGAATCTGGAACAAATTCAAGAGCTTGCACAAAAACAAGCTAGTCAAATCTATTCTTAGCAATTTATTACCAGACTAAAATACTTCTGGGGTTTTAGCTCCAGAAGATCATTTTAAAAACCTGAGATCACAAGGCTGTCATTAATCATAGCTGAAGTCTATAGTAGTGTGAAAAAGTGACCAAGTGAGTGAGTGAGTGAAAGTCGCTCAGTCGTGTTTGACTCTTTGCGATCCCATGGACTATACAGTCCATGCAATTCTCCAGGCCAGAATACTGGAGTGGGTAGCCTTTCTCTTCTCCAGGGGATCTTCCCAACCCAGGGATCACACCCAGGTCTCCCACATTGCAGGCGGATTCTTTACCAGCTGAGTCACAAGGGACATGATAAATTTTGCAATTGTCATAAGGTTGGTCCTTTGGTCAGAGGAACTATGTGCTGGTGACTTACGTCTTGGATGGTTTCTGGACCGTCTCAAAGGCTACTTTGTGCAAATGCAAATCTACAGCGTCTTTAGGTATCTTTTAGAGTTCATTTTAACCTGACTTCTTCTATATAGGAGAATGAACCCCGCAACTCACTAAGAATAGCCAGTAGCTTTGGTTCTTAGGAAGTTGATTGCTGCCTTAGAGGACTTATAAATAGTGATATAGTGGGGAAACTCAGAAAGTAGAGTTGATCTGCCTGTACTAAAGAGATAGACAGAGGATTATCACGGGAGCTTGAGAGGGAATAGATATAAGGGAAAGAGAGAGTTTTAGCATGCTGGAGAGTATGTGAGCATGCTTGCTGGCTGAGAAGAATCCATGACACAGAAGATCGAGTGGGAAAAATAGGGACCCTCTGTAAGATTCACAGACACAACCTTATCTAATGGAAGTGCCTTGTTTCAGAGAAATTCCCTATTGCTTCAGTCTCTGTCAGAGAGCCAAGCTCAGTATCATCATCTCTACAGATCGGACAAACCTTCCTAAGGTCAAAGAGACTTTTGATACAGACTTCCCTGGTGATCCAGTGGTTAAGAATCTGCCTGCCAATGCAAGGGACATGGGTTCGATCCCTGGTCCAGGAAGATTCCACATGCCTTGGGGCAACTAAGCCCATGTGCCACAACTATGGAGTGGCTGCCTCTCACTCACAGCATCTAAAGAAAGTCCATATGCAGCAATGAAGACCTAGCACAGTCAGAAAAAAAAAAAAGGAGAGAGAGAGACTTGGTCCTTAATTAGTCCAGATCATGCCCAGTACTCTATTCCTCAAGTTCTCTCTCCAACATTTTTTCCTCCTGTATCTAGAATTCCTACCCTTGAAGTCTTTTTTTTTTTATTTTAAGATTAAAGGGCTATCTCCAGAACAAAACACAAGTATTTGACATAAAGGGGGCAGTAGAAAATTAATAGTACTTGTTAGCAGCAATTAGTCTTTTCCATTGGCTGGCAGAAGCAGCACTGGAATCAAGGACTGTCTTCATGTGGAGGAGTGACAAGGTTTGAGACATGAAGCGGGGTTCCGGAAGGGTGATGGCTGGAAGCCTCGGGAACTCAGACAGCAGCATCTGGAGCCCAGATGTGTGAAGGGGCAGGCGGAACAGCATGTGCCCCTGTGTGAGGCATCATGGTGCACAAAGCAAGCTCTTACACTCGACGTTGGTAGCATAACCTTGATGCTTTAGTGAACCACAGATACACATGCACTTTGGCATATATACACATGATGGGTAATTCACATGTTGTGTTTTTCAATCCCCTCTACTTCAGGAAAGGAGATAAAATGGGAGTTTGATCTCATGAGAGGGAGGTCTGAAACTCTGCAACATATTCTTGCCCTTGGCACAGAAACAACTTGTATATACTCATTTTATGTTCTTCTGAAGTATGATTAATAATATTACTACAAATTTGAAAGAAAGAAATTATGATAAAGCAACCACTTCTTACCATCACATGAAGCATTCTTGAAAATGTCAGTTTGTAAATATAGCCAATGTATTAAAAAATCCATTTCGTTGGGTTCAGTGTCAACATTTCTTACTTTGTAAGTGCTCAACTAAGTACTTTATTGAGTGCTCTCCAACATGAATAGAAGCTTAAGACAATTATCTTGAAATATTCATGTGGATCAGACAAATGGTTTCTTTGCTTG